AGTGAGTGAGACGCAAGGGCTACTGCTGGGCGGGGTGCAGTTAGAAGCAGGAAGATTGCTAAGGAGTGAAAACATAGGAAGAATAATCAGGAGGACAGCAATTGAAGCGATTGAAATTGCGTTTAAATTTTTGCAGATTAAAGTTGGCTGGAAAGCATGCAACCGGAAGTGGGGTCCATAAGCAAGAACTGCGAGAAAAGAAAATTTTAGCATAGAATTTACGTTTACATCTAGACAACTCAACTGTAAATTAGTAAGACCCCGTCGCCAGATTAGTGATGCGTTTAATTTTGAACAGTCTGGGCACTATAGCAAAGAGCACATCCGACCAATTAACCATGAAAGTATTTATAGAAAAGGCACAGGAAGAAACTTTTACGGCAACTTTATCAAGGATCTCTCTCTCTCTCTCTATATATATATATATATATATATATATATATATATATATATATATATATATATATGTTCATGAATCATTCATACAATAAAACAAATAGAGAGGTTAATGATTTAAATGGTGAGAATACATCATCGCAAACAATATAAAAAAGATACACCAACCCCGAACCTGCATATGAATGATATGATCCCCGTTTATAAATTCAAGTTGCATAAGGTCTTTTTTATTTTTTACAAGCTTTCGTCTGTTCCTACAGACATCCTCAGGTATGGAAATAGATTTGTTCTTGTTTTTACTTCTCGGTAATAAGAGGACAACGAAAATAGAGTTGTAATCCGAAAAAATGCTATGAGAAATGTGTTAATAATTGTTTTGGAACGTGCGGTCGCAACGCTGAGTTTGAATTTAAAATTTTAAGGTTGTGCTTTTTGTACAAATATAGGAATAAGAGAATTCTTTTTGTACTGGTAGGTTTTCCGTCAATGTGGCATGAACTATATTGTTCAATAATTACCGTAATGTCAAACTTATTGTCCGAAATATATATATATATATATATATATATATATATATATATATATATATATATATATATATATTTATAGGATTAAGAAACCTTCTCTCTGCCGGCAGAAAAGAATTTGTAAAGTCTCTTAATCTGTTGGGGATATTTTATTTTAACTGTCCTCGCTAATTTATTTACACGATTATTTCCCCTCCCCTCGTTATAAGTATATATACTTGTTTGTTATTTTAGTGTGTTTCCCCCCTCTTTTTGCTCTTCATTATCGTTAATATTCTTTTCGCTAATCCAACGATTGTCTCCTGATGAGATGTTGGCTGAAAGGGCCCTAGAGACTTTTAAAATTAAAATCAATGCATTCCTTGTTTTTAAAACTATATATATATATATATATATATATATATATAGGGCGATTGAAAAGTAACTCCCTATTTTATGTATGAGTGGCCAGCTAGGAGTCTTGACTTAACACCCCTGTCACTTTTTTCTTTGGGGTTGATTAAAGGAGAACGTCTACTTTTGAAGAACTTGAAGAGCGAATACAAGAAGTTATGTCTTCCATACCATAAGAAGTACTGCTGAAATAAGTTGACGCGATTCCTGGTCTCGTCTCGAGAAGCCGGTAACGAAATCTGGGGCACATATCAAAATTTGCATAAAATCTCATGGTAAACGCTTTCCTCTCATAACCATTTCTTGTAAAATTATACTGAATAAATAATAAGTATTTTAAAATGGGGAGTCACTTTTCAGTTACCCTGTTTGTGTGTGTGCGTATATATATATATATATATATATATATATATATATATATATATATATATATGTATAAGTGCGCAGGTATGCAGAAAATAGAAAAGAACACGTTGGGTGCTTAATCCGGGGTCCCTTAGTATTTTTGTTTTTATTTTTAAGAAGACACTGCTCCATACAGAAGTAGAGCTTCACTATAATAATAATATTTTTTGTTTAAAAATATGATTCCTTCGCTACATAAGAGTTCTCATGTTTCAAAAACGAGAGCCGAAACCATCCAAATAATTATTAAAATTAAGTTGAATTCTAGTCCCGTTTCATCTTCAAGCGAAATTTTAGGAATATTCCTAAAATTTTATCAAGAAAGATGTACAGTGTAACCCGGATATAAGAGAATTGTCGGGACCGGAGAAGAAGTCTCTTATATCCGGGTTTCTCTTATATCCGGGTTTGGTCTATTTTATATACATTAACACGGGCTCTAATTTGGGACCAGAGAAAATCTCTCTTATATCCGGGTTTCTCTTATATCCGGGTCTCTTATATCCAGGTTACACTGTAGTGTCAGTGTGGTAGACAAGATTCCGTTGGCTACGTCAAGGTATTTTTACAAAACGGAACATTTGATTTAGTCCAAAGTGATGTGTAACGGTGAAAGTGAGTGTGGAAAATATTGTTGTTGTTGTTGTTCTTCTTCTTCTTCTTCTTCTTCCTCTTCCTCTTCTTCTTCTTCTTCTTCTTCTTCTTCTTCTTCTTATTATTATTATTATTATTATTATTATTATTTCCTTTGATCTTCTGTGTGTACACATTTCGTTCCGGGTCCCGACCAGAGACCTAAGGTTAGAAATGGCATCATGACATTTTCCACAGACAAAAAAAAAAAAAAAGAAGAAAAAAAAAACAACAAGAAAAAACAAAAGACATATTATACATAGATATTATTATTATTATTATTATTATTATTATTATTATTAATATTTTTTTGCGTTTATCAAATATTTTATAGACACTTCAATCTATCGTTTCTGGTCCAGAAAGATATTTTATTTAATGTGCGTTGTTTATTTTATATAATAATAGTCTCAAGGATTTTGAGTTTTTCCCTACATTCGCTGCTATTATTAATATAAATTTTATAATACACATGATATCTGATACACTATTTTCCATAAAGAAGAAAAAAGAAAAATTAAACAAACAGTCCTTGTCGGTTGAATTTAACAAAACTTGTTTGGATGAATACTTTCTGCTCATATATATATATATATATATATATATATATATATATATATATATATAAGCGTTTCACACCAAGCAAGGCGGGAAGCCACTAGGACGCAAGGGGTTACAGAAGATTTGGAGCAAGATCAGATAGGAGTGATAGAGGAAAGGATGAGGAGAAGGATAGTGGATAGATCAAGGCATCTGGAGATGTCGATTGACATTACATTTGAATAGTTGGAGATTATAGCTCTCAGGGAAACTGGAATAGGGAAGGGAGTTCCACAGGCGACAGGTGTGAGACATGAAGCTATTGGAGTAGAAGAGACGGCTACATTTAATAGTTTCGACAGTGAAAGGATGAGAGCGGGATGCCAGCCTCGTAGGGCGCTTGAATTCATGAAGTCTGGGAACCAACGAATGCAGCTCCTCGGAGCAATTACCATGAAAGTATTTGTAAAAAAGACAGAGAGAGGCGACGGTGCGTCTGTGAGAAAGTGACTGTAGACGAGATGCCAGATCGGAGTCAATTATATTGCATATCCGCCTCTGGAGCAAACAGAAGGGGCTCCAGACCATATATGGCAGCAATACTCCATGCAAGGGCGAATTGTTGATTTGTAGATCTGAAGGATCGATTCCGGGGAGAAAAATTTCCTGGCGCGGCACAGGGAGCCAACTTTCGTTGCGGTGGACGAAGCCTATATATATATATATATATATATATGAATGAATAAGGTCTATTTAGGCAACCAGTATTCATCCAAACAAGTTGGATTGAAAAGAACAGACAATGTCTATCTTTTTTTTTCTCCCTCAAGTACTTTCAATCCAAGATCATCTTCAGTCTTCATTTTCATCCAAGATCATCTTCAGTGGTGAATTGCTAAGACAAAAATTAGTGTAATTGGTAGCCTCTACCAATTACACTATTTTACTCAGTTTTGTAAAAAGACCAAGAAATTGATCCGTGAAATTGAGAGGATTAAAATTAAAGTAAATATACATAATATGTCTAGATTATTCAACCAAACATGCTTGAATGAAGAGATGCTGCCCAAATATGTATGTATGCGAAATTTCGGATACAACTAATATATATATATATAAAATGGCAATATGAATAAAGACAAGAAGAAAACTTATATTATGATATTATGGATATTATCAGAACCAAAATACCTATATCCACAATAATTCTAATGCAAATATATATAAAATAAACTGTCTTGACTGTTCCACACAATACACTGGGGAAACTTGCAAAAATGAAAAAAAAAAAAAAAAACAACAAAAATTGTATCTATGAACACAAAAAAGGATCTTATACACAAAAATGTATCAAATGCATTAGTCATAGAAATAAACTCAACCACAACTTTGAACTAAAGAATGCCACACTTAATAAAAGAGAAAGTAACTTACTTAAACAGAAAATTCTTCAATGTGCTTCCATCGAATCTTATCAAAATATAAATCTGCGTTTAGAATTTTTTCAAATATCTCCTTTCCTGAAAGAATTTCTTCCTTATCAACCCAACAAACATGATTACAAAAATGTGAAAAATTCAAATAAAAGCTAAATTCATACCGTTCTTTTATTTAAAATGTATAATACATACATTAATTGCAAACAAATAATTACATTATATACAAAATTCCCAAAATCACCAAACCACATCATTTATTCACGTTACTTTATTAGACATTGAATTACGTCACTTAATTACGTCCATAATTTACGGAGTTTTTTTTTGTTTTAGTTAGCCTGATGAATATTTATGAGCGTTTCTTAAATTTTAAACAAAATTGAAAAGTTAATATTTTTACTTTTGTTTATGAATAACTTCTGCGAAATAAAATCATTACATTTGCCTTGATAAACTCCCACGGAAGATGAAACGCGTCGGCTAAGATAAATTTTCTTTTTGTCTTTATTCATATTGTCCTTTTACAAATATATATTTTAGTTATATCTGAGATTTTACACACACACACACGAATATATATATGTAAAGAGAGAGAGAGATTCAGACATAGATAGATAGATAGATAGATAGATAGATAGATAGATAGATAGATAGATAGATTCACATTAAGATAATTCTGTAAAGGCTGGGATAGATAGATAGATAGATAGATAGATAGATAGATAGATAGATAGATAGATTCAGGTTAAGATAGATCTGCAAAGGTTGAGATAGATAGATAGATAGATAGATAGATAGATAGATAGATAGATCTGAAAAGGCTGGGATAGATAGATAGATGTGAAGAGAGTGAAGATAGAGAGAGAGACAGATAGATAGATAGATAGATAGATAGATAGATAGAT